GAGTTTATCCCATATGAGGTTTGGTGTTTCTGTAATCTATAGATTTATATCTTTTACCAAACTGAGAAGTTTTTAACCACTGTTCCTTTGAATTCTCTTCTCTTCCCTTCTCCCGCCTTTTAAGCTCATAGTTCAGGCTGAGTATTTTCTGCTGTTTTGATCTTCTTTTGCTATTTTGTCTTCTAGTTCTTCAATTCTTTTCTCTTTTCCCTCGGTTCTGCTATTGAACCTATCTACTGAGGTTTTTTTTTTTTGATTATTTTATTTTTCAGTTCTAAATATTTTTATTGGTTCTTCATGTCATCTTTTTAATTCCCTAAGAATTTCTTTTTTTCTCAGATTTTCTGGGCTTTTAAAATTTAATTTCTTTTAAGTTTGTTTATAATTGTTCATTTAAGTATATTATTTATGGTAACCACTTTGCACCAGATAATTCTAACAACTTTGTCATCCAGGTATTAGTTATCTATTGATTGTCTTTTTAAAATTCCATTTGAGATCTTCCTGGTTCTTAGTATGGTGAATGATTTTCTATTGAAACCTAGACCTTTAGGGTACTGTGTTATAAGACTTAGTCTTTTTTTTTTTTTTTTTTTTTTTTGGGGGTCTTTTTCTTTAAGGCAAGGCATGTGTACTCGCCAGAAAGAGAGACAGAAAGTGAGAAACCCCCCCCCCGGGGGGGGGGGTGGCCACATCACAGTCCCTTCTCCTCCATTCTCCTCTCAGCATCTTTGACATGTATGCACACGTGCCTGGTGTGAGTTTAAGTCACCAACTCCAGGACTTGAACCGTGATCAGCTACATGGGAATCCAGCAGCTCCAGGACTCGAACTGTGATCAACTACATGGGAATCCAGCAACATAGCCGCTATGCCAACTGCTGGTTCCTCAAGACTCAGTCTTATTTAAACCTTCTGTTTGAACTGGCTTCCTCTGACACTACCTTATTTCTGCCTGACGGAGGTAGGTATCCAGGTTTTCCATGTAGCCTCCACTGATGCTGAGTTGGAAGGTTCCACATTATTCCCTAGCAGGGAAGAACATTAGAGCTTTACAGTAGCTCTCCACGGATACCTTCTGCCTGGGAAGTATAGAATGTCCTCCTTGTTTCTCCTCAACATACCCTCCATTAATACCATGGTGGGGAGGAGAATGGCCTTGGTCCTTTGAGGGGTGGTGAAATTTCTGAGTCTACTAGGCCTCCTCTCATCCTACCCCAGTGAAGAGGGGGAGGGACTTCATTACTGCTGGGTGGGAGCAGAAGTCCAGGCTTCTTCCCACGTGGTATCCACTGACATCCACCAGGCACAGATGAAAATGCCAGCTTCCTTCAGGCCTTCCCTGACACCATGGGGGTAGAAGAAAAGGGATAGATAGGAGTTGGAGTACCCCCACTTCAGCCTGTGAGGATAGAAGTATAGCTTTACACTCAGCCTTTGCTGAACTATGTTGTGGGAGAATGCTGTCTTTCTGTGGTGGTTGGCTAAAATAGAACAGAAAGCTTCTCTCTTCTAGGCTTGTGCCTTTGTCACTTTGCTGGAGAGAGTATTGTGGTTTTGCTTTTGCTATTGTGTTTTTGTTTTAGGGGGCTTTTCATCTGTTTCCAGTGACATTTCCAGGTTGCTAGCTTCTTCCTGAAAGTCTAGACTATTTGAGAGAAAAAAATCCAGGGAACTCACCACTGTGCCATTCCTTGGATCAATCCCAAGATCCCTAGCCAGGCTGCCTCTTCTTTCCAACATTTAGAGTCTTATATTTGCTTATAACAACCAAAGTTTTTAGTTGTACTTAGCAGTAGGAAAAGGGCAAAGTATACCTACTCCATCACCTGGAATTCATTCTCATTTTATAAAATGTTCTAGTTTCCTTTTATTGATTGATTGATTGATTGATTGATTGATTTTTGAAAGATTTTTGCTATAGGGCACATGTGCTTGCCAGAGACAGAGAGATAGAAATCACCCCACAGGGCGATGGCTATGCCACAATCCCTTCTCCTCCATTCTCCTCTTGGAATTTTGTGGATTCACACACATGTACCTGGCATGAATTTTATGCCACCAGGTCCGGGACTTGAACCGTGGACTATGTGGGAGTCTAGTGACGTAACCATTATGCCATCTGCTGGTCCCAAAATGTTCTAGTTTCTAACAGCATGTTTTTCCAGCACCTCTGCGCCATGATAAACTGAGTTGCCTTGCTTTAGGAAACTTTTAAAGTAAGATCTGTCAACCAATTACAACTCCTATATGATTAAGTATCAACATAGCTCACATACTTTTAGTAATTATGTCTATTTTTTCATGAGTTTTTCAAGAATAATCTGTAAAAATAAATGTCTGTATTACTTTATGCCAAGCAAGATTTGGTAAGGTGATAAATAAATTTAGTCTTATAATCATTATTTTCATTTTTAAATGAGTAATTATTTGTGATTTAGTTATAGGGTAGGTAAGATTCATATTATAGTCATTCAGAGTAAAAGCAAAACACATCTACACATACACAAATTTAAGTAGGAAAAAATTCCAGATTTGACATTTTATTGCATTACTGTTACAGTGAAAATAATAAGAAGTTTAGGAAATGTTATTGTACGGGCTGGAAGGTGGTACAACAGTGAAATGCAATGCTCTGCAGTGCTGACTCACTGGAAGGTTCTGGATTAAATCCAAAGGCCTCCCTGAGTGTGTTAAGCACATGTGTGCCTGTGGTCAGGCACCAGCTGAAGCTAGGGTTGAATTGCAATGTCAGAACCCTCTTGGAGTTCTGTCTCTCTGTCTTTCTGTCTCTCAACTCATGGAAGAACTAAACTTTAGGAAAGAAAAAACATAAAATGTTAGTGTTGACACTTTTCTATTTTATTATTTTATTTTAGTTCATGAATCTACCCTAGATCAGAGACATATTTATTTTAGTTCATGAATCTACCCTAGATCAGAGACATATTTCTAGTATAACTGGTTGTAATTATTGTTTTATTTGTTTATTTACTTACTCTATGAGTGAGAGAGAGTGTGGAGAGAAAGACAGGTAGAGGCCACCCCCAATAGGGTCTTCACGCCACGATCCCCAGCCTTCAGCCAGCCCTAGGTCATGGGCACCCATGTACCCAGTGTACTCAGGGAGGTCTCCAGACTTGAACCAGGAACCTTCCCCTATGAGATCACCTCACAGAGCTTTTACATTTTACTGCTGTTCACTGTCTAGCTCCTAATTCTTTTTTCATTAGCCACTGCTTCTTTTTTTCTGTTTCAAATTTACTTTGTAATATGGACCTAGAGAAAGATTTTGAGTAAGAATTTCCAACCAATACCTTTCCAAAGAAAATCTTATCAACCTGTAAATCTTTACAGTTGGAGGTTCTTACTTGAAAGCCGTAACATAAACAAACAGAAAATCCACGCAGAGTCAGAAGGTCCTTATTCCTGGCCTTAAGAGGCCTTGCCTATGGACAGATAACCTGACAACATGTTAAAGGTGGCCTAGAGCCAGTAGTTTGACCCTTGGGGATCTGCTCATCATTTTGTTGGTGTTATTGGGAAGGAGGGAGGGAAAACTTGGAGGCCTCTCATCTTCTGTTTTAGTCCCTGCGTCCCTCTGGTGATTGCCTGCTTTTCTTATACACAGTGGTCACCTTGTTCCCTAGGGCTTGCCCTGTATACTACTCCTGGGTTCTTTGACCAGTACCATGACTCCTCTGCTGCGTGCTGGAGGGAGAAGAGAGGAAAGGGAGAAAATAGAACCTCCTTCATTGCACTAGCCTGGCTATACGCCTACTGAAACAAAGCATCCCGCCCCCTTGCTGAAAATGTAAAACGTGCGAGTCTGTTATCGAGTTAGATAGGTAAATATAACTGATCTGCACTGAAAAGAAATAACCTGCCAGTCTGCACCATAGCTTAGCTTAGGCAATACTGTTCTAGCATTACTGCATCAAGCCTCTGCTTTCATGCGACTTGTCAGATCTATAGCCTGAATTTCTTTCTATACTTCTAAATATTTTACCAAACCACATTCTGTGTAGACAGTCCAATTACTGTGTTTAGAAAGGAAGTCTGAACATTTCCTATCATTGCTGATAGATGAGAACCGGGACCATAGAATTTTAATACTGCCCATTATTCTTCTATCTTTTCCCCAAAGTCTAGGAGACAGTAGCTTTGATTGTGAGATTAATAAAGAGGTGTGCCCTTTTTTCTTTTGTTTAGATTCCTTGTCTAAAACGTTACTTCACTGAGTTTGAGCTTGGTAGGGGTAACATTCTTATTTCTTTGTAGCTGGTAGTTTTGTCAAAGTACTTCTAACTTATTTCAAAGCATAAGGTGGCATGCTCTAAAATGTCAAAATATTTAAACTGGGACATCTTGGAGAGTCTGCAGGTAGAATTCAAAGGGTTCACAAATTAAAAGGGGGAAACTATCTTAGTTTTTCTAAACACTGTTGAAACTTAATTTCTACTGGTGGCAAAGACCTAAGTATTGTGAATACTAGTCACTGACGTTTTTTAAAACCTAATAGTTGTTGGTATCTCAAAATGCAATTATGCTTTTTACTATTTCAGCATAATATTTGTGTTATTAGGGATTAAAATTAACATATAGTTAATATTCACTCTTCATATATTGTTAAGAAAGTGTGTGTATCATATATTATGATATAACAAATTTGTGTTTTTAACACAGTAGTTTTATCTATTTTTAAATGATTGGTACCCTTTATAATTTCATATCTTTTATATTTCCATTTAAAAACATTATTTAGGCCCAGCTGCAGCAGCACTGAGGCCATGTGAGGAAGCTTGGGTTCAGTTCCTGGCCCTCCTAAAAAGCACGTGTGGTACATACGCTGTACTCTCAGTTACTCAAGAGGCTGAGGTAGGAGGATCGTGACCCTGTCCAACACACATCAAAATCAAAACAAGTTATTTAGAGGCATCTTGTGCTTTTTCTCACTGTGTTCTCTCTGCCTGTCACGTGTCTCTTCTTTCCTTCGGCAGCATCAGCCACTATGTGATTGTCATGTCCATGACCATCTTCCTGGTGTTTCTCAATGGCCTGGCACAGCTGCTCACAACAAAGAGACTCAGCCTGTGTGGCAGACCCAAAAGCCACTTCGTATGATGTCACCGAGCTGTCATTCAGCATCCGGGCCCTGCTTCTCCTTCTCCTTTTAAAAGAAAATCCCATCAAGGATTTGACGAGAAGATGGATATTAATGTATAATGGGTTCTACTGCTGTAAAGAAGACTATGTCTGGAATTCTGGCTTTACAGGTTATCTAGAATAAAGGAGGCTCCTTTTTCTTATAGGTTGTGCTGGCATGAGATAATGACTTTACCTGTGGAAGAGAGTAGCAAAGCATTCTCCGTTGTAAAAGAGCGTAGCAAAGCATTCTCCGTTGTCATTGTTTCCCTTGGGATGCAGCTCCTCTGAGTGACGTTCCACAGCACCTGCAACAATTGGTCCCCAGCCTAAGTTTTCCTTTTATCCAAGGAAGAACATGTGCCCACGGGGCAGTAATGAGGGCATCCAGAATTACTGCTGTGGCTGAACTGGAAAGGAAGCACAAGGTGATACCATCAGTGTTTATCAGCTCTTGCCACTGGTTTTATAGGAGTTCTGCCTCTTCAACAGTGTCATTAGGAAGATAATCAGGAGGTGTTATTTCAAATTTACTACAATTTTAGTAGAAAAAATGGAAGGTTGCAGGTGTTAGTCATTTTTCTTCAGTATGTAGACACTGTCTTATGCTTCTCACTGCTGTTTCCAGGGGTTTCATACTCAACTAACTATTGTAGATATAGGATTAATATTCACTTTTTTTTTTTTCATTTTTGGACTCTCATGAAATTTCTGATGACAAAATGTACTAAGTTCTTAGTATTTGTGTTTTGTCTATAGGAAAAATATAAAGAAGTAGTTTTTAATTGTAGATTCATCTGTTATCCCTATCATTTTTATTTTTTTTATTTTTCCATAAACTATTATTCTTTTTAAAAATTTTTATTAACTTTTGATTATGATTTCTGGCTTATATATAATCATTGTACATCTATATCAAGGATATAGGTATACCTACTTATTCAGCATCGACCATTTCAATACATTGTGTACATTCAGTAATAGTTCTATTAATTATTTTAGGAAGTATATATTGAATTATCAGACACAGTTTTTACTCAGCTAGGGTGCATTGTTCCATGACCTATGTGACTTGTTTTTATGCATCCTTCTGTCTGCTGTTAATCATTTTGCATCGTTTCATCAGGATTCTTTAAATCAGAGGTTAACTTTATGACGATATTATAAGAACTATGTGAAAATTACCATTCTTTCTGATTGTGAGATTCTAGCTTAAGCACTAAAGTTAATCTCACGTTAAGTTTATATTTTCATTTGTAAACTAAAGGACAGAATATTTCGAGAACAATTTTATTTGGATTTTCTATAAAAGGCCCTTTACATATCACTGTAGAGTTGGCATTTTGCCTGTGGTGTGCCAGTGTTTTGGGCTGGTGCTAAGCTTTGCTGGTATGTATCCCATTTTTTAAAAATAATTGCTTTTGAATTAAGTTACAGCATTACTATTGGGTTGTTGGAAAAGTCATGACATATTTTTAAAAATTATTTAATTTTATTTACTATCTTTTTTAAGAATTATTTTACAAACTTTGTTTATTTATTTTAATTTGACCAGAGAGGGATAGTGTGTGTGTGTGTGTGTGTGTGTGTGTGTGTGTGTGTATGTGAGAGAGAGAGAGAAAGTTGGCAAGCTGCCAGGTCTGGGACTCAAACCACGGACGGCCATGTGGGAGTCCAGCACCTCAACCACCATGCCACATGCTGGCCCTCATGACATATTTCTCTATGTAAAAATGCATCATGACTTTTTCAACAACCCAATAATTTATATTAATGACTAGGAAACCCCCTACTAATAACTAGATTTTTCAACTTGATGGGTGAATAAACAAATACAATTAGAAGACTCAAAAATCAATTTAGCAAGACATTCTTTCTTAATTTCTATGTATGGTGAAATGTTATCATTCATTTGTGCTAACACTTCATAGTACACAACATTATAATGTTATGGAAGAATATTAATATATATAAGACTTCATTTATCAGTCCATGATTTCAAAAATCTAGGTATCCAACCAAGAAACTACTGTAGCAGACAATGACGTTGACAGAGAGTCCATGAACTTTCTACCTCAAAGGGTTTTTATCAGTTTTTTTCACACATCAGTAAAAACTGATTTTATAAGCACTTATGTAACTTTTTATGTATCTAGTTTTGCCTTTCATCTTTTCCCAGATTTTCATATACAGGGATTAATGAATATTTTATTAATATTACAACATTGTAAAAGATGCTCAGTGCTTTACTTTGTCTGATTGTGCTCTTCGAAGCATTTCTTTTTCTTAATATTGTCCCTTGGTCAGTGTGAGTTTACAGAGAGAGAAGTGCACCTGCGGCCCCGGGCTGGCCTTGCTGTACAGGAACTGGACCCCTCAGACTCACGTAAATGGATCTTTTCTGTTGTGGGTTCTCAGATATCTTAAAGTGTTTTCAGATATATATTTTTATATTGAATAGCAGAGAATGAATGAGATTTAGGGGAAATGTATTTCTGTTTAAGACATTTATTTTTACATTCTAACTATGCCAGTACTAGATTTCTAAATCAGGACGTAAGACATTTGCTAAGTATCATTGTTTAAATTAGAAATTGTAAGAAATAAAGTGGGCATAACATGTTGAGAAAATATTGAACAACCTGAAAGTCATGCTGTGTCACATGGGCTGTGAATAAACCTTGGAGGAAACTCTAAGGCTTTAGGAAACTAACTGCAGCATATCTAGAATTTATCAATAGGTCAGTTCTTTGTATTAGTATGCTTGGTGTGTAATATGCCTTTTTATTTCTTAAAAAAATAATGTTATAAATGGTAGTATATTTTCACAATAATTTCCTTAAAATTATTTATCAATGATGGAGCTGAACCAGCCTTAAAAACATTAACTTCCATCAGTTATAATACTATATCCCATGTACTGTTTTAGGTGACTCCTTTGTCCTCCTTTTTGACATCTAACTGTGCCACAAAAATTTGATTCCTGGGGCTGGCAGGTGGTGTAGTAGCTAAGGTGCTGAACTGTCACATGGCCAACTGTGATTTGAGTCCCAGATCCAGAGGCTTGAAACCCATGCCAGGCACATGTGTGTTTGTGCCCCAAAATCCTGAGAGTAGAAGGGATTGTGGCATGGCCATCTCCCTGAGGCTGATTTCTCACTTTATTTCTCCCTGTCTCTCTCTCTCTCTGTTTCTCTCTCTCTCTCCCCCTCCAGCAAGTGCATGTGTCCTATAGCAGAAAAAAAAAAAAAAAACTTTAAAAAACAAAACAGAACAAAACAAAACAAAACAAACACGTAATTTCTGATGAAGCCGACCTAGAGGGAATGAAGGGCACTGTGTGGTGTGGTCTCTAGAGGCAGGCAGCAGCTGCTGCGGGGTTTCCCTCTCCTTGGGTGCTGCCGGGTACATCTCATCAGAGATACCATCTCGTCAGAGCCTGAAGAGAATGATGCTGAATCCAATTCTTCATGGAAAGGTTCCCTTTCACACCAATACTGAGAACTCCTTGAAGAGACCAGAGATGGGACCAGCAGATGGCCTAACGGTTATGTTGCGGGACTCCCACGTGTCTGGTTGCGTGTCCTAGATTGAGAGCTTGAAACTCACACCTGGTGCAAGTGTGTGCATTACCAAAATCCCAGGAGGATAATGGAGAAGGGATTGTGGCATGGCCATCCCCTCTGGGGACGGGGGTGGGGGTGGGGGGGTGTGATTTCTTGCTGTCTCTGCGTCTCTCGCGAGTACATGTACCCTATAGTAAAAATATCCCCCCCCCAAAAAAGAGAGAAACCAGAGATAAGTGGCATTTTCTCCCCTTTGCAAGTTGTTCTTTTATAGTACCATTTCCCTCTTCTTTGAAATATTTTAAGCATTCATAGTTGTTGTTCCGTGTTTTCTCAGTACTGTAATGATATCTTCGTAGTACTTTCCCACTTCTGTATAAGTACGATTCCTTTAAAAGGTAGCTTGGATTTCTGCCCTTAGTATTTGTTCTATAAAAACAAAAGGAACATTCAAGATGTATCACTTAGTAATTTCCATAGATACACTAAAACAGGTTATGTCACTACTTGACTTACCACCCTCATAATCGAATTATCTACCACATAGCAGCACTTCTCCAAGTAGGTCCCTTAGAACAACGGTTCCTTAGCATACACATCCATGTTGCAATGTTTTAAAAAGTTCCTGGATCAAGTATATTTGAAAAACACTTATCCAAATAAAGTTAAAGAGGTGTATTTGTTTTAGCTCTCAGAGAAATTAATTTAGGAAGGAAGATAGGAGGAAGATGCCAGAAGTTTTCACTTGCTTCCCTGCAGACCCTAATGGTGTCCCTCTCCCTCGATGAACACACTGTAGAAAGAGCACCACATACTTTCGCACTAAAACTCAATTCTCACACTGCTTTGAAAATAGGGTGTTCACACTTGATTGAATATTTCTTTTGAGAACTGGAAAAGCATTTTTATTTTAACCCTCACTATGAAAAAACTTTAAAATGTACTTGCAATTTTGCCTGCCGCCATGTAATTATGCCTGTCATCATGGCCATCAGGAGAACCTTCAGGACCACCGTGTTGCGTCCCCTTCAGCACCTCTCCTTGAGTACCCCTGGTAGAACTTCCTGTCTTTTACATTCTTTACCTGAAAAATAAACTTAACAAGTGTTAGCTTGTTTTGTGAATGGAAACTATAGAGGGTGGTAGCTGGTTAATTTATTATTTTTTTTACAATGCTTTGTTATTTAAAAAAATAAAGAGGCCACTAGGTGGTGTGGAGGTTAAGGCTTTGATTCCCATATGGCTGAATACACAGTTCAAGTCCCAGATCAGGCAGTTTGAAAATCACACTAGACACATGTGCTTGTGTGCCCAAAATCCTGAGAGGGGAAAAAAAATTAAGAGAAAAAAGCATTTGTTAATCAACTGACCTAAGGACTAGAATCTAAAATTACTATTAATTAACATATTCAGAATTTGACATTATGTCTCCTGGGTAAACATATGAAAAGAAATTCTTTTCACTCCCCAAATTTAATTAACTTGACTAGTATCAGATACCACTTGCATCAAATATCAACAATTCCATGAATTTTTAAAAGTTCTTTTTACTTTAAATAGATAATAGTCAGTGTACTTGGTCAATATGACTGCTGGAGGAACCAACAAAGGCAGTGGTCGGTCTTAAAGACATTAACTTTT